TGTCTGTCTGTCTATCTGTCTGTCTGTCTGTCTGTCTGTCTATCTGTCTGTCTGTCTGTCTGTCTGTCTGTCTGTCTGTCTAGCCAAGTATATTTTCTAATACATAAAAATAAAAATGGAAAATATTATTATTTTTTTTTATTCTTCAATTTGATTTTCAATTATTTTAATTTTATATCTATTTATTTGTTTGGAAACAAATCCCCAGTGTTAATTTAATTTAATTTAATTTACTATTGTAGTTTTTGTTAATATTTTGAATTAGTTGAGTTTTATAATTTCTGTTTTTATTTTAATTTTAGTTCGTTTTAGTAGTTTCCTTGTGTTGTCATTTTAGTTTTTATTATATTCACTTTTTTATTATATTTTTATATTCATTTATTTTCATTCATTGTATATAGTTTTAGGTTTTGTTTATTTTCTTTTAGTTATTTTAGCACTTCAACTTAAACTACATAAAAATGGAAAATGTTGGCAACAAAAGATGTTTTAATTCAGTTAATGTTTATTTTATTTCATTCGTATTTTTAGTTAACAATAATAACCCTGGACGCGATCTCATAAAGCTCGGTTATATCACATTAAATATATGCACAATGAATCTTTCACAGTGTCTACACTTCGTGTGTTAAAATGAGAGGATTCGCGAGCACGCAATTTCAGCACTGCGGTGAGTAGATTCTAACTTAATCACCTCTGATTGGCCATTGCGTTCCAGAAATCAACAGCTGAGTCTGTGATTGGCTACATTGCGCAACCTTTTAAACACGTGTTATAAATAGAAACTATGCCTAGCTTGCGCATGTAAATAATTTTAATACTAATATTAGTTGTTCTTTTTGCTTTTGTGCAACAGATAAATAACAATTTATATGTTTTAGACACTTTATGTTTAGATAATTTCTATTTTGCGGGAGTCCCGCGAATCATTTTATTCTCCCGCATCCCGCACACACACGAGTCTCTTCCCGCCCGCACCAGCACTCGCCCATCAAGAGTTGGCCCGCGCCGCACCCTGTTACGTTGGGTCCCGCGGGAGTGCAGGTCATAATCCACGATGATCACATTACACAAATCTGAAATTGCACGTCAAAATAACACTATTGTCAATATTTTTTGAGACCCCCCAACATTTCACAAATCACGTTTTCAGGGGAGCCCATGTCTTATTAAGGGGAGCCGAGCTCCCCCTAGCTCCCCCGTAGTTCGCACCCTGGTTTTACAAGGAAAATCTGTGAGATTAAATGCTTGTCTGAATTTGAGTTTCAAAAGTACTACTAGACTTGAGGTAACCTGATGGCAAAAATGGGGAATTAAATTAAACTGAATTAAATTATGATTTTGGAATAATATGATTTGAATATTTAAAAACAGTGAGATTACTAAATGTGGACATACAGTGCGTGAACATGAATAGTAGGAATGCCCCCTAATGGAAGCTGCGGTCTCGCGCAGTCACGTGATTGTCATCAGCGGACCAGTGTGACGCGCGATCAGCTGACGTTCACTCGACCTTCTCCACTGCGGGAGATACGGACATCCAAACGTCTCCATCCGCAGCGCTTCAAATAAATCCCGTACCGAAGCATGGCGAGCCAGTCCCAGGGCATCCAGCAGCTGCTGCAGGCGGAGAAACGAGCCGCGGAAAAGGTCGCAGAAGCCCGTAAAAGTAAGTTGTCGTTTTGCTTGTCATAGCTGCAGACTAGCGCTTAGCTAACATGCTAACTGGCCAGCAAGTCACTGCCGATGTTTTCTGTATATATACAAATAGCACACAGGGGGAATGAATGAATGAATTTGAATTGAAAAGACATTTCCCTGATCATGCCGGCAAAATTTGGGCAATGAAGTGTTTATGTTTTTGTTTTCAGTATTCATTCTTTAAGGCTAACAGCTCTCTATAAAAAAGCCTGTATAATGGATCAAATCTACCAGTGGATGACATGACATGTAACGAAATTATTTCTTTTGGCCCATTTACACTGAGGATGTTAAAGAATTAAAACACCAAGTAAATTGGAAGGCTTTGTCTCACCACATTTTAACATTTGAAGTCAGCTTTTAACTCGTTTTGTTTTTGTTGTTTTTCTTATGGGAGATATTCAAGTTTCATATTTGCTCTTTATAGTGAAGGAAATAATGACTGTAAGTTTACTAAATATCTCCTTTACTGAAGTGACACAGTGGCATTGACTCACTAGACATTCACTCGGTTCCTGTTTTTATAGAGATTTTTTTTGCTGCTGGTTCTCATTTCTCATAAAAGAGAGGAATTTCCCTGGCAGAGCAATATTCCACTTTTCAATTTTTCTGCCTGTACAGTTGTGCCACTGATAGTAATGTTTTTTTTTTCTCGATAATGCATTTTGTGTTGTTGTTTTTTTTTATAGGAAAAAATCGTCGTCTGAAGCAAGCCAAAGAGGAGGCGCAGGCTGAGATTGAGCAGTACCGTCTGCAAAGGGAGAAAGAGTTTAAGACAAAGGAGGCTGCGGTAAGATTTATTCATTTTTGGTTCAGGCATCCATTTGTAGCCATATCACTACTTGTGTGGCGAAATCTTGTCAAAAGGTATTTTGGTACTCTGCTTTGACGAATGCTTTTATTGTGACTTAAATTGTATGGTTATTGGCAGTTTATTATAATGTCTTGCTATTGTAATTTTAAAAATTGTACCATTTTGAATAATGCCCATATAGTGCAAAATGGGTTCCTGGAGTAAAAAATGTAATTAAATCTTCTCTATAAGGGAATTGATTTTTATCTATAAGAAAGACCGACCTACTGTGAGCTACTTGTTTTGTTAATAGATGGTAATATGCTTTGGTTGAAACTAGGGCTGCACGATAAATCGCATGCGATATTTAATGCGCATCTTATCAGTAAAGCCGGTTCTGTAATCAGCGGTAAATCTCCATCACGTGCGTGCTTTCACATTGAGCAGCATTTACTACACAGAGCCGTTGTTCACTGACGAGCTGCGCAAAAAATCACGCGAATATGAACCTGGTTTTGCGCAGCTCGTCAGTGAACAACGGCTCTGTGTAGTTAATGCTGCTCAATGTGAAAGCCCGCAGGTGATGGAGATTTACCTCTGATTACAGAACCGGCTTTCTGACAAGATGCGCATTAAATATCGCATGCGATTTATCGTGTAGCCCTAGTTGAAACTTGAAAGCATATCCTTTTGGTTTTTAAATGATCATGTTTAACAGCAGAATTCCTGGTGAAAGACTACATTACCCATGATTCTGCAAAAAAAGCAAAAACCCCTTTAGCATCCTCCCACTGGCTTGAAGCACTGCAAATGACATGATAGTCAATCTCCTGTTCTCAAAAAAAAATTCTGTCAATTTTCTTTTGTCATTTGCAGTTCTTTATGGGATTGTAGTGCTTTTCCTCATTAAAACCATTACAGTCTTGTACCTTTGTCATTTTAAATGTTTTTAAAATACCTTTTTGCTTCAAATAACTCTTTAATGAAGACTTTTTAAAAATCCCTATGGAAAAAATACTTCCAGAACCAAGCTTGCTAAAAAAAAAAGTGGGCAGGCACACTTGAACTCCATTAGCTTCATATGAGAAAATGTGCAGGTCTTTCAAAGTATACAGTTTTAAACAGAGCCTTTATTTTAACATTTTTAAAGTGCCCCCTGAAATTTAAATTAATATTCTTCTAACCTTACAATAAATCTAATAAACAATCAAATATTTCTATGCAAAATCAGAGTAGAATGAAGCTAAAGATAAAATCATTTTGAAACACCTTCGAGTTATTGCTTTTACAATATGGTAAAATACATCATTGTTCAATAAATAGTTATATTAAACACTTAAAATAATCTCACAAAACCTCTGCAGTTCCATCATGAACCTCTTGGGTCACACGGCTTGTTGGGAAACCCTGACAAATCGGAAAAACCCCATACTGTAATTGGAAGAAGCACACATGTGCATTAGTATTAGTTCTGAATAATGCTTAAAGTTAACGTCCCATTGCTCGGTCCCGCAGGCCCTGGGGTCCCATGGAAACTCTGCTGTAGAGGTGGATAAGGAGACCATAGATAAGATGAGCCGCATCCAGAGCAGTTATCAGCAGAACAAGGAAGCTGTGCTTGCAAACCTGCTGAAGATGGTGTGCGACATCAAGCCAGAGATCCACGCCAATTACCGCGTCGCTGGATAAACACCTCTGTCCAACCACCACATCCGTTACAATCCCTAAAGACCCACAAAGCACTGAGACAAAGACTGCTACTAGACGTATCTCGTTACAATCATAATATTTAGATAGCTGGACTACTACACTGCTTAATAATACACTTCTTATCTACATTACGACATTAACACATTTCCTTGGGTTTAAACAGACATTCATTGATACCTAAACCAGTCAGTGGTCATGGTACTGCACATACACATCTCTGCAGTATTGTTTGCAAATATATCTTTGATATGATCCAATGCAAGTCTTTGTCTCTGGTCTTTTAGTTAACTAGTATTGTCCAGTATATCAGAGTGAGTTTCTTTGTGAATGATACCTTTAATTGTTTGTATGAACGTCTGTATCTTGATGCTACATTCTTAATTTATAAGTAATCAGATGTTGTTTTATCTAATTGATGTATACAATATAATTTTTTGATGGCTTTTTTTGTGACAAATCTCATAGTTATCATAATCTTAATGTTGTATTCGTAATTAAATACACTTCCTCCCTGCGCCCTTGTTCTGTATATGTAGATGGCACTCCTCTATTTCAGCCTGCTGTGAAAATGTAATAAATGTTTGTGTACAAATGGATCAGCAGTTTTACATGAGAATTTCTTCCACTTTTTTTCTAAAATAATGCTGATGCAGCATAATTAGTGAATATCGTTTAACTGTGATCTACTCTAAATCTAAGTTTCAATTAACAATCTGCCACATACAATCTTTTCTAATATAAAGATCGACCGAGTAGCAACGATAGAGGTTGCTATTTAGCTATATTGTCCCCGTCTTCAAAATGTATAATTCTCCAAAACCTATTCACTAGTTATAATAAAACAGTTTAGATGTCTTCACTAGATTATATTATATTTATTGCTCACGGAGAAATATACCCCACACTTTTCTTGAATAAGTTTAATAAAAAGCTTAATTCTATGTACAAATCTACAACTTGAGCTGTAAATGTAATATACACAAATAAATATAAGGCTTATTATTTCTTCTTATTTCATTGGTGCCAAAATATAAGGCCTTGACTCCCTGGCATGAAATTTCTTGTTCATTATTATTGAACGTAGAAACTACAGGAGCATCTCAATAAATTAGAATGTCGTGGAAAAGTTCATTTATTTCAGTAATTCAACTCAAATTGTGAAACTCGTGTATTAAATAAATTCAATACATACAGACTGAAGTAGTTTAAGTCTTTGGTTCTTTTAATTGTGATGATTTTGGCTCACATTTAACAAAAACCCACCAATTCACTATCTCAACAAATTAGAATACTTCATAAGACCAATAAAACAAATATTTTTAGTGAATTGTTGGCCTTCTGGAAAGTATGTTCATTTACTGTACATGTACTCAATACTTGGTAGGGGCTCCTTTTGCTTTAATTACTGCCTCAATTCGATTGAGATGCACCTGTATATGTGCATAACCATCCAAACAAAGCGAAAACATTAAATGTTGCCAACGCGTAAAGACAATATTTCAAACAATTCTTTGTCAATATCAAGTATTACTTGCCATGTGGCAACGGAAGTAAGGAAAGTTTTTATTGCGTCACATCAGCGCCGGATACATAGCGTTCTGTGGAAATTTCTTCAAAATAATAGTTGTTTTTAAATTATCTTTATCTTTCGTTATTAAACCGAATAGAATAGACAAACCATGACTGCTTGTTAATCAGTGGAAGAAAATACTGATAGAAAAGGCTTTGTGTTTTATTCTTTACCATGTTAGGACTGAGAACAAGCTTGTAATGTTTCTTGTTTTTGTACTAAAAATAATACTATTTAAATACAATAATTTTACAGCGAATTTAAAATAATGCTACAAAGAATAACAAAATTTATTGTGTGTGCTAAGTTAGCATAGAAAATGCTAATAAACAAACCTGTTAATCCGTTCACTTTGAGACGACGGAGCTTTAACTGAGGACTTTTATTGTGTATTAGTTTCCGCGTTGTAGCTGACTTCACACTGTTACTTCACTGAGTCGGAGCATCTCAACGCTGGTCAGTGTAAAGATTAAGTTGATTTACTCTTGTCCCAAAACTGATGATCTGCAGTTAATATCAAAGACACCAAAGGAACCTGTGCACGCATTCGTCGCATGCTGTCAAGGTGAGATTTATGTGACTCTTTGCAGCTCAGTGAAGTATTTTTTTTTTTCCCTGTAATCTCTGTTGCTGTGACCTCTGAGAAGACATTTGCAGTTCTGCTCTCACTCTCTCCCGCTCATCTTTGTGGATAGCGACTATTTGTTCTGTTCATTAACGCTACCAAGATTTTGTAGTCATTTGTACTCAACAGTAGATGATATTGTCTAAATGAGCTGTGCTTGAAGTCTTGCAGAAATTGTGCAGATGTTTTGCTGAATGTCCCAGCTGCTCTGTTCATTACCTTTTACATATTCCAGGACAGTTATTTCAGAATTTTAACTATAAATACTAATACAATTATGCTTTTTTAAATTGACGTTTATTGTAATATTTAAATTTATTTTAAATCATATTTAATTTAGGCATTTTAGTAATTTTCTATTTAAATGCATATATTTTAAATGCCAGTTTTAGTAATTTAGAACTAAATTTTTATTTCGGATTTATTTTTTAATTAAGAGTTTAATTTAATAAGTATATTTCATCACATTTCAGCTTTTTAAATTAACTTTTTAGTTTAGTTATTTTTATTTATTATTTTTATTGTTAGTTAACAATAGCAGCATTGTTCCAGGTTTTTGCAGAAAGCAGCGTTCTGTGAAACATGAAGTAAATCCAAATGCGGTTTATGGTCATGTAAATGCATAAACAACATTCTTACATTTTCTTAAGTGTGGCATGCGTGTGGAAAAGACCGGATAAATAATGTGGAGAGAAGGCTGGTTACTGACTGAGCTGAATGTGTTTAAAGGGGTCATGTGATGCTTTTTTAAAGATCATTATTTTGTGTATTTGGTGTAACAGAATATGTTGACGAAAGGAAAACTTGAAATCGCATCATATGACCCCTTTAAGAGCACAGCGCTAACACAGTGCATGTGCTTGGCTTTAAGCAGCTTTCTTGTAATAACCGTTTTCTAATGAGCATGTAAACCCGCGGTTCTCAACCTTTTTGACTGCAAGGCCGCCCAGCAGGGCCGTGCACAGACCTTTTAAGGGGCATGTGCTGAAACTGAAAAAAAAAAATATATAGGGTTTCTTAGGTCTATAGGTCTACATGTTATACACTATTATAATGACATGGCTTTTAAAGACTGCTTAATTTCTAAATCTCAAAAGGTGGAAGTCAGGACTAATAGACTTGGCCTGGAAAAAGGACATGGTATGATAGCTTGGCATTATACAGTGCAAAGGATATCTGGCCTTCTAGATGTAAAGTAGGCTATAACAATGGGCCTCCTGGGTAGTTGTCATTATTATTTGTAGGGTCCTGTGTTTGTGAATTGCTCTTGTGTACTCCCTCTTTTTTTAATATATATATATATATATGTATACACACATACATTATGACACAAAGTTCAATAAAATTGTTTGAAGAAAAATAATTTTTTAGCTATGTAATATATATAATGTAGTTCAGCTGCTGTGGAACTGCAGTTCATTCAGTCAAGATTAGAGGGGGTGGAGTTATGAGGTTTACTGACAGTTTGAGCGAATCCAACAAGATTTAGTCACAAGCTATTTTTAATACCTTTCATTAGCTAAATATTTGTAAAGCTGACAGACAGATGTAAAGGGTGACCAATATCATTGATTTATTGAAGGAAAAAAAAAAACACCATCACCAAAAAAAGGGCACTTCGGAGTGTAAGGGCAAAAAGGACATGTGCTCTGCACAGGTTGAGCCCTACCTGTGCACGTGCCTGCCCCCCAGTGTCAACAGTATTCGAAGGCTTGTGATTTACTGGATAAGGATTAAGGCTAAGGATTTTTACAAATATTTTTTTACTTACAATTTCTGGCCCAAAAAATGTGTAGAGCTTGACATAACTAGAATATTGTATCTCTGCATCTTGCCCTTACCAGCCCTGGTGACCTAGTTGGGAACCACTTGTTGAAGCGCAATGGAAGTGAATGGGGACTACAGACGTGAAACTCAAAAATGCATAAAAAGCACACATAAGCACAGTAAAAGTAGTCCATATGACATACATCCAGTATTCTATGATTTTTGTTTTAATCTTTTTATAGCTTTGCGTGAGGAAATGAAATCTTGAAGTCCAATGTAGCTCTTAAATGTAATGCACTGAGATGGAAAAAAAAACAGCAATTTGGACAATTTACTAAACTTCTCACTTTGTTTTCATTGTAAAGAAAGACGCTGGTCCTTTGTCATCTATTCATTCTGTCCTCTAAAAATGGTTTTGATGGGGTTGTGTGAAAAAGTTCACAAAAAATGAAGATAACTCTGTTGTAATAAAGAGCTGCACAACTCAATTGTTAGACTACAAGGAAAAAAACTATTTACTTTCTCATAACTTGCTTTTGTTCCTGGATACAGACTTTTTTTTCTTTTAAGAGGAAGTTAGTATCAAATGTGGGGGAAGGAAGGTTACTGGATTCAATGTGTGTGTTTATTTTTAGGTTGATTGTTTTGCTGAACCAGAAAACCAGGTATTGAATCTCTGCGCCCCGGCTGGATGAGGTCCTGTGCCATATTTCATCAGCATTGTCTAGAATGTCAATGATGTAGACTATCTTTTTAGACTTTAGTAGTACCATACAACTATTGGGTAAAATGTATCTTGTTTTTTACTCTTATGTAAATGGGTGTAAAGTACTTTGATTTGGATCTGTATGAAAGTGCAGTAGCAGGTCAGGGTAACACTAGCTCGTTGTCTCTCTGTTGCATGAGTGGACACTGTGTGTGTGTGTGTGTGTGTGCACTTGGGGTGAAATGCAGAGCACAAATTCCGAGTATGGGACACCATACTTGGCCTCATGTCAGGTCAAATAGTTTTTTTTTTTTTATTCACTAGACAAGACTTTGTGTGTGTGTGTGCTTTTTTTTATTAATAATATAATTAGCTCACTTAAGTTGGTAATTGGATACAAGCTATACACTGTAAAAAAATTGCTGTAAAAAAACGGCCAAAATCTGACAGTAACATACTGTTTTCCATTAAAACAGTAATGTACTGTAGAAAACAATGCATTCTGGGCAATATTTTGCCGTTTAAGACATTGCTGTTAATTTAAAGCCACTTTTTAACAGTACTCTACTGTATTTAAGTACCGTATTGACCCGAATATAAGACGATGTTTTTTTCTTGGAAATACATCTGATAAAACGCGGTCGTCTTATATTCAGGGTCTAGACTTTGACATGTCAATAATACACCCACAACAATAGGTGGCGCCAAATACACATAAAACGAGTGTGCCATGAAATACATAATGTAATGCGTGTTGTAAAGATCGCGAGTAAAAACTAAAGAATAAGAAAACCTTACAGCTGCATGAGTCGTGACTGTCACGTTAGCCTGATGGGACCAAACTCCCTTTGTGATTTTAAAACGTAAGACAGTACCCAGATTTGAAGACTACAGTAAGATTTAACTTCTACTGTTAATAAGATTTTGG